CTTCTTTGGAGGATATCTATTCAAGTCCTTTGACCATTTTTTTGTTTAGGCTTTTTGTCTTTTTGTTATTAAGGTTGCAGGTGTTCTTTATATATATCTGTTCTTTATATATATCTGATACTGGTTTCCAAATTTTTTTTTCCCCATTTTGTAGGTTGTTTCTTCACTTTCTGGATAAAGTCCTTCAATGCCCAAAAGTTTCTAATTTTGATGAAGTTCAGTTTATCTATTTTTTTTCTTTTGTTGCTTGTACTTTTGATGTCATAGCTAAGAATCCATTGTTCAAAACAAAATTCAAAACTGAAAGTTTTTAAACCTTTCTTTGTGACTGGATTTCTCTAATCAACATGCTTTTCTTTTGTGTCCCTTCTTTGTTCTCACAGCCACAGTCCTCCCTCTAGTTTAATTGTCTTATATTCATTCATGCAGCACATTTTGTTATTGTTGCTTTGTTTGAATAATTATGATATATAGAGATGAAATCATAAGAGTGTGATGGTGCAGGTGATTTAGGAAACTTGTATTTTATGGAGAAACTCTGGTGTTGCAGTGGTTAAAGCATTTGGCTATTAACCAAAAGGTTGATGGTTCAAACCTACCAGCTGCTCTGTGGGAGAACGATGAGGCAGTCTGCTTCCCTAAAGATTTACAGCCTTGAAAACCCCATGGGGGCAGTTCTACTCTGTCCTATAGGGTCACTATGAGTCAGATTTGACTCAATGACAGTGGGTTAGTGGGTGGTACTTCATGATCCGAGCCCTGGGACAGAGGGGACACCTCTGAATTATTAGATAATTGATTTGTATTCTGTGGAAATGGAAGGAATTTCTGAATGAATTGACGTTAACATCTTTCTTTGTTTGATTTTTATAAACCATCTCTAGTCTGATGACTGGTTTGCTCTAGTAATATATATATATGTTGTTGTTGTTGTTGTTATGTGCCGTCGAGTCGGCCCCGACTCATAGCGACCCCTCCTTGGGTTTCCAAGGCAGTATCACTATGAAAGTAGGATTGCCCAACCTTCCTTCCGAGGAGTGACTGGTGGGTTTGAACCGCCAGCCTTCTGGTTAGCAGTCAAGTGCTTTAGCCACTATGC